CAATCGATCTCAAATCCATCCAATAGGCTTCACAGGTTTGACAGGAATGATGGCTAGCTGTAGTCTGGAGGTCTGTATATAGCTATGAACTCAAGGTCAGTTACTTTATAGATGTACTGTTTTTCATACATTTGAATGTGGTTTCTGACATAGGCAGTAACAGCATACCACTTCTATTGGCCATTTGTGAAAAAGACAAGTGTCGGTTTCATTTTATAAATTTTTAACCAACCAGCTGCAGCCTTATAGCTTTGTTTCTGTGAGACACAAAACATTGGCCAGACACAATTCATGATGATGTCACCAACATGAGAAATTCTGCTTCAGCATACTTTCAGCTATTTCAGGTATCAAAATGTTCAGCTCTTCAAGGACATTCATGCTCCTATTACAGAATCTTTCTGAAATTAATAATTTTGCAATATGTAGCTTTATTTTGACAGTTTTGCACCATTCAAATGAATGAAAAAATTCTCCTTCAGCATGCTTTCAGCTATTTCATGTTCAGCCCCTCAAGGACATTCTATTCTATTCAGACATTTTCTCAACTTCATACTTTTGAAATATTTATCTTTATTTTGAAAGTTATGCACCATTCAAATGAATAGGACAATTCTACCTCTGCATACTTTGGACTATTTCAGGTATCAACATGTTCACCTCCACAAGGACATTCATGCTTCTATTCAGAATGTTTCTAAACTTCATACTTTTGAAATATGTAGCTTTATTTTGAAAGTTTTGCACCATTCAAATGAATGGAGAAATTCTAGCTCAGAATACTTTCAGCTGTTAACATGTTCAGCTCTTCAAGGACATTCATGCTTCTATTCAGAACCTTTCTAAACTCCATATTTCTTCAATATGTAGCTTTATTGTGAAAGTTTTGCACCATTCAAAAGAATGGGGAAATTCTACTTCAGCATACTTTCAGCTAGCAAAACCATTCAGGTGTCATGCACATGTGTGTTTGTGGATCTGTTCATGTTTGGTTTCTTAAATGTATCTGCCCAATCCGTGCCACAGCTTCACCGGCTCCTGTGGAGTGTTGACCATGTCCATCCAGTGATGGAGCTGAGGGCCTCTGGTGTACACAAAGGGCCCTAACACCAGCACTCCCAGTAGGATTGGAGGCTCTGGGAGAAAGATATATGAATGTCACTGTGTCAGTGTTTTGTATTTTATTTGCAGCAATATTAGGGAAATATTAGTGTCCTGTCCCCCCTTGAAGGTGAAGTTAATTTTATTTTCTATATAGCGGAACATCACAACACAGAAAAAAGGCATGATGAAGTCATACCAAAGTCAGTGGCATTAACCACCAAGCTATGGATTTCAGCATTTTCAGGGCAATTCTTCAGCAATCAGTATCCACACACATTTTCTTCAGGAAATGCATTTGTCTAGTTTTAAGATATACTTCTTTTAGAGTTGCTTGTTGCGAGTTTTGGGTTACACAGATGCGAGGCTATGGGTTCATACGTATGTTACATTAAAAGACTGTTGGAAATAAAAACATTCTTTGTGAAATTCATAAATATGATAGGTCTATTGAAATTCCTCAGGGAATAGAGAGCAACATGTAATGAGATCTTTTATCCAAGTAAAAGTTGCAGTACCATAATGTACTAAAAAAAAGGCCTTTATTCAAAAGTATTACCAGTAAAATTAGTTTTTAAAAAGTCTGTCAGTTTTGGGCTTATGCATTAACATGTTAGCAATATTTTAATATTGTAACCTGTCTAGTGGGGGCTAATTGAAACACGTGAAATGGAAACACTTTTGTACCTCAAAACTGTACTTAAGTATATGTGTATACATAAAAGTATTGTTAATTATACTCATTACTTGCACATGCCAAGAAGAGATCATTATATTCCTATAGTTTCCACTGGACTGGAAATACAGTGGCACTAACATAACTTATAAAACAGTCAGTGGAGCCAAGACAAAATGCAGATTGGATATGAAGATGTTAGGACATTTTTTAATCTAATTATTATATTTATATGTAAAATTTAACAACAGATTTGTATTCGTGAGGAACATCCATTTATTATTAATTATTATTTCCTTTTTACTAAAACGTGATAGCACATAAAAATTTTATAAAATAAATAACTAAAATGACCAGGTTATATTTATTGTGTAAAATGAAAATTCTCATTGTTAAAATGGGCTTATTTCAGCTGCTAGGTCCGCTGTCCCATTACGGAGAGTAGCCTAATTGTGTCACCACCATATGTTCTGAGTGAATCATGCGTGGTGCAATTTATTGCGTCATATCACGCCCATATCGGCCTATGAGGAAAATGCAAAGTGGGAACCGGAATTTACGCAGTTCAACTGAAGGCAGCAAAGAGAGAGAGACTTGTTCATCAGCTCTTTTTCTGTTTTTTTCTGTGCACTCGCTCTGCCTCCTCTGTCGTGTCACCGGAGAGCAAAGAGGAAAGAATATGGTTTAATCTGACGCTCCTCTCGTGTCAGCGCTCCTGTAGCGGATCTTGTACGAGCAGCGGGCAGAGGCTCGGTCCGGTACAAAGACCCTCAATACCTGAAACCAACCAGCCTGCGGAGCACTAGCAGCACTCCGTGTGCCATAAATGGGTGAGATGCAACTCCTTTTTGCTGCTTATCTGGAGAATCCCCAGAAATAGCCCCAGCGCCTCCGCGCATCTGGATCGGCATGAATAAACGCCCGGTCCAGATGCGCGTTGGGTTCAGGGTCTCTCATTCCTTCCTTTCCTCTCCTGCCGTCCCTACTTTCGCTTCCCCTGATGTCGCCTCACGCATCTCACAGTGTTTCCGATGTTTTATTAATTATTAGAAAGCTGCGCAGGGGTTTGCAGCGATTTGAAGAGCAGCGGCGGGCCACATTGATGAGTTGCAGATGTTGACACGTTTACATTCACTCTTGACTATCTGCCCATTGTGCACAGTGTGACTCTCTCCGGCTCGGTCTCTGTAGATGAAACAGGCCTGTGACAGCGTTCTTCTCATCATCGCCATCATATCGTACAACACTACGCTGTTGCAAGCAGGGATAACTGATTCCAGTGGTTAGACTGTTGACTAATCTAATAAGATCGTGCATACGTATATACATTTGTTCATTGTTTCACAGATGAGGCACAGGAGCTAATGGTTCCTTTTTCTTTTCATGCTACGTTTTAAAATCTTTCTTGTGGACTCTGGCCTGGCCCAGTCCTTTTCTGTATCCCCTTTGTTTTAGACCTTTGTTTCTGCTGCATGTACACAAACAGTGTAACCCTCAAGGGAAACACACATCCACATATAGGCTAATAATACATGATCAACAAAACTGCATGAGAAACACAGACAACTAATTCATGGGCCTCTAAAACCCATGTGTTTGTGCTGCCATGACTGAATTAATCACAAAATGACTATGTGAATATGCACCAGTAAATTACAGACCTTGCATATTACCTTGATGAGTTTATAGCAAAAGAGTTGTATTGGATTCCATTACATTATGCAGGTGTACTTAATAAAGTGGCCATTGAGTGCATTTAGATTCTGTGTAAAGAAAACTAAGTGAAAGAACAGCCAGTGGTAAATCACCTTAGATCAGTTTTCTTCTTTTTAGTTCTCTTCTTGCTTGGTCAGTGTGCAAAATGAAGACTAGAAGAAAAAAAAGTCTAATTCTGCTGTTCCTGTTGTTTTCAAGGAGAAAGGCAATGTCATAGATCTATAACTGTGACCTTCCATCCCTCAGAATCAAAGTCTGAGGTTATTTCAACATGTTCTAGTTTGCAGAAACATTCAACTGTACAAAAAGAGCTGTTTCTCTATCATCAGTAGTCTTAACAGAAAGGAATACAAAGTAGTTGTGAGAGGCGTTTCACTTTTCTTTACTGAAAGTGAAAGACTCTCACCTTCTCTCTAAAGTTTGCTCTGCTGTTCTCTCCACCTACATTGAAAATTCAAGGGTAAATGCACAGATGATCTTTCAGTGGTTGTCAGAAGGCATTCTGCAACATGTAAGTCTACAACATGTGAGTGCTGGAGTTACAAGCAGACAGTACAAGTTGTATAGTAAATTACAGGCAGTTTGTCATATGATAAGGCAAGGCGGCTTAGTTTATATAGCACATTTTGTACACAGCACCACTGCGTGTTGAACACAGAATGGTTGGAATTGTCCTTTAATGTGGGAGAGTTTGCTGAAGTCTGTGATTGAATCTGTAGTTAGCGTGGGTGGCTTTGGCTTCCAGTGGCCTCCAGTCCAGCATGAATGTTTAAAGACAAACACACAGCTGCTCCTGACATCATCAGCTCATCAGCGGCAGCACTGAAACAGACCCACAGCTAAACACACGTCTGCTGCAGTGAAATGTCAGCATGGCTTTGCAAAGTTCAGTGTGTGAATGTGTAGTTTCTTCTTATCTAAACTGACTGCAGCTGTTCAGTAGACACTACAGTCTCAGTTCCTGTGTGAGAGTACAGGGTTGACCATGTAAGTGGGAGTTGTGGGTTGTCAAAATATTCTGTTCTTGTCTTTTCAAGGCCTTATGTTTGTCATTTTTTAGCCTTGCACACAATTAAATAATATGAACTTCCAACGAGTAGTAAAGTAGAACATGGAAGTCTGCTTTACCATTAGCTGGGTCATTTAATTTTATTGTACAGGGACTGATTATTTTCACAGTTAAATAATCTGCAGTCTACTTCCCTAATCATCTGTATGTGAAATATCTTCCTCTGTTTTAGTTTCTACCAACTGCTGAGAAAAATATCTGGTTCTTTAGTTGCCTGATGTTCAGTCATTTTGTATTGTACCGTACAGTGTTTATCAAAGCTTTCTTTGTTAGAAATACACACCCAGGGGATTATTATAGCTATTCGGGCTGAACTATAAAGGTACGTTATTGAGCAGGCCATAACATATATGAGCTAAAACAACCTAGTAAGCTTGTTAAGAGCTGCAGACTTATGTCCACCTTATATGCAATGTAAGGCATAGTGCACACCAGCTCGACTCCCTGTGCACTACTCATGCATCCTTTGCAGAGGACAGGGTTGTCTATACGTGACTACTAGTCCCAAGTTATGATTGTGTGCAGCAAGATGCAACAATGCAACAAGATGTGGGGGCTTTGAGCCTTTCATGTGGCAGTGTTTATGTTAATCTAATGTTGATCCATACATCCTTAGTTTGTTGATTGCATGTTTTCTGTGTAAACTCAGAATTAGTGACTTAGCTGTTAAATGAAAATTAAATAGTGAGGTAAAAAGGACAATATAATATATATAATATACCTCAATCTGTAGTTTCCTTAGTACTTGATTAAATATACTTTCCACTACTGATACTGTCACGCTGTGTTGACAGTGAACAATAAATCGAGTCTGTTCGTGTTGTCAAATCATGTCCAGTGTACATCTGTTGCGAGACTCATTTTCCACTCTTGCTCGCAGCTTCACACCAGGCAGAACTCCTCTCCGATGCCTGTTTGGTGTTTACTTTGTGTCACTTTTAACTGACACCCTTCTCCACACTTGGTGACGTACATTCTGTGCAGAGCCACGTGCCGAAGCCTTCTTCACTGCTGTATGTTGACTGACATGTGGGTGGGCGGATGGACTGCAGTGTGTTGTCCTGTTTTGGCACTCAGAGGTAGTCTAAGTGATTTGGAAGATAAGTGCCACAAGCTGTCAATTATACTCACTAAAAAAAAAAACATCCACTTACACTCTCACGGTATCGACCACTTCCCTTTTGCTCGACTGAGAGCAAAAAAAGAAAATGCTAATGTGCCAGGTTGCTGTCTCGTCTGTGAATAATCCCCCCATCCTATCTCGAGCCAGAGTCATATCCTTCTCATGGCAGTTGCAGGCCAGTGTGAACTGCAGTCACCTTCTTCATATTGTCTTTCTCCTTCCACATGAGGTAAACTCTCAGCAATGTCATGACCTTCCACAGCACAACTACTTTCACAAGAAGTTTGGGCTTATTGTTTGTTCAGTGTCATCATTTGGTGTTTTCCTGCTGGTGCATAGATGTGCAAAGATGTGAAATTTTGTGTGAGGCAGGAAGCCAGTGTGTCATAGCTTCCCCCTTTACACTGTTGTTCCCACCCCCAACACCAGCCCCCTTTAGCTGTCCAAACAGTTTAAATGGACTGTATTTTATACAGTGTGTTGCACTGGCCAAAGCGCTTTATAGAAGATCATGCACCATTCACCCATAGATGACGACAGGCTGCCATGCACCGGCGCTAGTCAAGCCACCAGGAGCAATTCGGGGTTCAGGGACACTTAGGCATGCGGGGAGACTGGGAGTCAAACCACCAACTTGCTGGTCAGGAGACAACTGCTCATGAGCCACAGCCACCCTGGTTTAGACAGGGATCAGACCTCAGTGGCCAAACGCATGCGTGTCTGTGTGTTTCTTTGTGTGTCTCTGTGTGTGCATGCAGAAGGTAAAGATATATGTGATGTAACACGTAAAGCATTTAGCTGCAGTATTAGCAGTTGCACAAGCAATCGTAAGGTGTGACTGTGTGTGAATGTATGCTATTTACAGAGAAGGTTTGTTTGCATGTTTATTTGTACATTTTTAAAATAGTGGTTCTTTACATCAGGACTTATTTGAAACAAGGTTACATCAGGCTAGTTTTTAAAAAATATGTACTCATTTAATACTCTGCTCTTCTGAGTTTAATAGAAACACTTTTTTTTGTTCAGTTAATTCTATTTTTCACCTACTTTGCCTCTTTTAAATGAAACCCAGGCAGCACTTCCTCCCCATGATCATGCCCTTTCCTGATAGACTCAACATGTCAAGTCTTACATTATCATCCACCTCATACCATTTTTTTTTTTTTACCTGTGTTAGGTCTGTGTTTTTATTGTGTATTTTATTCTTATTTTTATTAGAATCTTGTCTTCATTTTGTTCTCATCATTCATTTTGGATTGTGTGAGTCACCAAAACAAAACCCTCAGCCACTGACAGTAGATTAAATGTTACTAGAAAGAGTGGAAATGCATATAACTGACAGAAATTTAAGGTTGTCGGCACCTCAACCCTCAAAAAATATGTCTTCATTTTATTCAGTTTTCAAGATGAGGTAAGCTGCTGTTAAAAGTACTAGTTAGGTTTAAAAACCAGGATGTGTTTGAAATGAAGACGTTTGTACACAGTGCTATCTGACAACATCTAAAAACAGGTGATTATATCTTTTCCTGTTCACAGCCACACTCACATAAAGGCAAAGTGTGAAACAGGGAACTTAAGGTTTGGTTAGGTTTAGGGCAACTTACACTGGGTTTTAATAATTATGTTGTTAAGGTTAAGGTAGCTTTGTCATCAGAAATACAATAATAAATGCTTGATTAAACTTCAGGAATGATTGCAGTCATTAGTTAGTTAGTTTAAAAGCAAAAAATAAACCAGTGTTGAAAAGGGAAATGAGCCATGGTCTCCCATTACTTTATCACTGTACGACTGGTTCCTCCTTTGCTATAAATCTGCAGTTTTCTTGTTCAGAAATGAAACTGTCATTGAAAGACTGTAGATTCAGAGCTGCAGCTTGTAGCACTTAAATACAGTTTACCTTATCTCTGCAGTGTTGCGAGCCAGAGTAAACAGCGTTCTGGATAAAAATCAGCAATTAGATTTCATAGTTTATCTGTGTGTGTGTGTGTGTGTGCACATTCCCTTTCCACTTCCAGTTTTGTACCAATAAACGAAATCAACACAGTAATTAATATCAAAATCCAATGAGTAAAAATGGAAATATGCGATTTTTCGGCAGTGCTTGATAATATATTGTGGTTTGCTGCAACGCACTAACTCTGTCATTCTTTGTGCGCAGTGGAGGCCGTGGTGGAGTTTGACTATGAGGCTCAGCAGGACGATGAGTTGAGCCTGACGGTGGGTGACATCATCGTGAACATACGGCGGGATGATGGAGGATGGTGGGAGGGCGAGCTGGGTGGACGCAGGGGGCTGTTCCCAGATAACTTTGTCAGGGTGAGTAATTGCAGTTACCTCTAGCTCATTTCCTCACTTCATCTCCTTATTCTCAGTCTCTTACATGCTTCAGAAATCCACAAAAGGCCGTCTGCAGACAGTGGTACAGTAAACATGGATTTTCAAGTGTGTCGCTGTGGTTTGTATGTTTCTGTGTGCTATTTTAACTTTATGTTTTTGTAAGGGGACAAAGGTTCAAAGATTAAAACTGGGGTTACGTTTAGATCAGACTATACATTAAAGTTATGTCAGGGTTAAGGATGTGCAGGATTTGGACACTAAGGTGAAAGCAGAACCAAACCTGCCACAGATTAGGTTGAACCTGAAACTTTTTCTGTCACGCTATGTTGCTCTCTTTCTTAGCATTTTCAACCACTGCAGTTCTACGAATGGTCCACATTTAGTGAAAATGACACAATCCTTCCTTTTTTCTTTTTTTAAGATGAGATAAGCTGCACTTAAAATTTGAAGCATAAACCTTGTCCGAACAGTGATGAAAAGCCTGTTAATAGAGCAACCCTGTCTCCTGGGAATTGTGTTTCCATATTACTAAACTGTTTTCCCAATTATGCTGCACGCTGGTTGGATTATATTTAGACAGCGTTCACACATGTCAAGGAAAAGCTAGAATTTTTTTAGACCAGTTTTCCATCCTGTAACAGTCATGGAGAATCAGAGAAATAGTAAAATGTTCTGGAAAACGTGTCATCCTGGCAACTCATTTTGACATTTGTGTCTTTTCCTTTTGCGGAGAGCAAACTGCCAAAACCCGACAGCTGGAAACTGGAATCAGGACTGCAGTATGTTCAGGGACCAGATGCGGTTAAGAGTGGTGGGTTCACAGAGTTGAACTTTCTGAGCTCCACACAAAGTTGTGGGCTTTTGAATGCATCCCAAACCATGTGTGGTTTCTGAAGACAACATATGTGTATGGAAAATAAAAAGATGAGTAAAATCACTGTTAAAATGTGGCCTGAACAATGGAAATGTAAGATAACTGATCCTACAAACACAAACATAAATGTTGGGTGATATCAAGCTTTACTTTTTAACATGGCTATAATCACTGGTTGTTCTCACAGCTAACACTAGGTGACCAGCTAGCTAACATGATGTGTGTGGTTAGGAGGATATGTATGTCTACCTTGTTTTGCTGCAGATGTGTTAATGTGATATGAAGAGTGGGTGTGCTTTAGTTGGGGATTAATGAATAAGAGCCATGTGTGTCTGTGTGGAAACATCTGTGCTTAATTTTAAGAAACGTGCAGTCTTGATATGATGGCTTAAACTCGGAGTTAATCATTCATGAAAAATTAACACTATTCACAGTGTAGTTAGATTACATCCTCAAATTTGTTGACCAGTGTATCATTGTCATTAAAATATTGAGGGTAGTTACTCCTGCTGGTACTGTTTCTAATCAATTTATTTAATATATTCCAAGTACCTTTCATGTTATTTTTATTATCCTCTAATACTTTAGAGTAATATTGTAAGAAACAATATTACTATAAC